CTGTGAGTTTAATCTGAAGTACTTTACTACATTTATCTGAAACATGAAACATTTATAAAATATGATGTTTTTAAATCAATGAAACTGCAGCAGTTTATCAGTCTGTTAATCAATGAGTTTAGTAATGGATCAAAGTCATTTTTCATCTTTCATTTGCAGATTTGCTTCTTTTTTTAAAATGTATTGTAATAATTTAAACGTATTCGTAATCATTTTGAATTCTGTGACAAAGTTTCTCAGTATTTGTACAAAGCAATCGATGGATTAATAATCAGCTGATGGATCCACAATGAATGCAATGATATCAGATAGAAACAGTTTAACTCACTAAACACAGATTAGATTTCTTTATTAAACTCACAATAACAAACATTCAGGAGAATAAATGTTGGAATTTATAAGCAGAATAACAAACGGAAACTCAATCAAAGCAGTTGTATTTTATTGGACTTCATTTAACCGAGTTCCTCCTCCAGTGAAGCAGATATTGATCCATCAGAGTGATTCATGTCAGAGAACTGCAGCTCCTGCTGTCGGCCTCACGGTGTCGCTGTCGTTGCAGTAATGCTCGGTGTCTCGGTGAGTCTGCGGCTGCAACCGGCAGATGGTCCGGTTCAAAGTTTATTTCCAGCGGTTGACATTGATTGAACCATTAACCCCGCAGCGCCACGCAGCTAATGATCCTCCTCCTGCCCCGCAAGCTGCGCACTCTGAGGCCGCTGCTCCTCCACCGGAGCCCGGCGTCCTCCGCTGGTTCGTTCCTCCAGTTCAAAGTTTAAAAAGACTCAAAATCAATTTCACAACCTCAAAATCTTTAAAAACCAAATAAAACTCTTCAGTTTAACAGAAACATGAAACAAATAAACACATAAAGAACAAAAAATAAAGATTTTATTGTGTAAAAGTTTAGAAAAATGTCCCCAAAGTTCCACCAAAGGAGGTTTATTGCTCTTATATAAAGTGTATAAAGTTTATTGTAATATAAAGTATATAAAGTTTATTGTTATATAAAGTGTATTGTAATATAAAGTATATAAAGTTTATTGTTATATAAAGTTTATGTTGTCATATGATGTAATTCATTTTACTAGAAAGCTTCATTTAGATTAAAGATGAATAATAAAACCCGCGTTCATAAACCTTCAGTACGTTCAGTTAATTCACATTAATGATGGAAAATAAAGATTTTATTGGATTCAAACAAAAAAATCCTGAATTCATCCGATTCGATTGATTATTGATTCATTATATTATTGTAATTATATGTGATATATATTATATTTGAGTATGAATTCATGCAGCTTTCATGCACATTCAATAGAAATAGAGAAATAAAATTAATAATATTGTGATTTTAAAGTCTCTCATTGTCACTGAACCGGCTCTCCTCCGTTATTGGACACAGTTTTGTCCCTCCGGGCCTCCGTCTGATTCCCGCCTCAGCATTCAGCTCACGGCCGCAGGAAGCAGCAGGAGACCCGGGGAGGAACCGGTCTGATTCCCGCTGCTCGCAGTCCCAGTTTAACCAGTTTAAAAAGAAATGTGATTTTATTTTTAGTGCTGCACATTTTCTGTTTGTTTCACAAAAAATGTATTTGATAAATAATAAAAAATATTTTGTGTTTTTTTTAAATCTACTTTTAAAAACGAACATTTCAAAGTAAAAGACTGGTTTGTGTCACTGAGGTCGAATTCAACACAATAAGAGTTTAAATGTGAATTCTGCTGATTTGACTGTCTGTGAATGTTTTTATGCAACTAAATAAATAAATTAATTAATAATCTGTAGAACCAATCAATACATTTACAATAAAACACTGAAAATAAACTCAGAAATGCTCAAAAATTGTTTCTTATTTTTATGACATTTTGTTTACAATTATTTAAAGTTTCATAAACTGTTTTCAGATACTCAATAACTGATTATTATATTCCATAAATCAATATTATTAGTTGTTGTTATTTGTTAAAGGACGCAGTAACGAGCTCCCACACACACAGAAGATAATCAGCATTTAAACTTTAATTCATAAAATAAGTCAAATAATTTCCGCTTTTATTTTGCTCTTTTAACGTTTCTGTGCTTTTATTTATTGATCTGTGATCTGTGATCAATAACTACAAGTTGAGGTACAATCTGAGGATTTTTTTCTTTCTTTGTCTTCATCTGATTTTAATGTTTGAATCCGTCCCGGAATAATAATCGATCACAGATCAAAGGTTCAATAAATCGATTAGAGTGTGATTGATCAGGTTGGTGCAGTTCCTGTTTCTGCCGCTGGGTGGCGCCCGCCCCCTGGATCAATAATCAATAATAACAATAACCTCCTTCATCCTCTCATCTTCTTCATTCTTTTATTTTTTTAAGGGAACACTGAACTTTTATTTTGGTACTCTTTCTCTGGGTCATTTCCTGCCTCCTTATTCAGGTCAGAGGTCAAAGGTCACAGGTGAACTGTTTACTCTTCACAACAACAACAAAAGCAACAACAAAAACAACACCTTAAATAATCCCAGAATTCCCCTTTAACCCCGTCAGAACCCTTAAGTTCTCCCTTAAGAACCAATAAACCCCAGAACAACCCTACAAATACCCTCCGGGGCAGTTTGGGCCCCCTCATATTAAAGGACCCTAGCTGTAGATCTGGTTCCACCTCCACCAGAACCTGATAAACCTCCTTAACAAAGCCCTTCAATGACTCAGAACACCAAACGACCCCCTGAAGAACCCTTAAAGAACCCCTCACCAACCCAGCCTAACTGATCAGCACTCTCCCGATCAGCCTGCCGATCAGCTTCATTGATCTCCCCCTCTCTGAACCGCTGCAGATGTTTCCCGCCGTGGTTCTGCTAACAGCCGCTTTCACATCTGGATCACTTTAATGAAAACCCTTCAGAC